TTGGGCGAATTCGAGCTGGTACCCGGGGATCCCACGGGCTTGTTTTCTTTTTGACTTAAGTCACTTTCACTAACTTGCCCTGCTTTTTTTTTCTTTGCCCTTACTTCTCTACGGGCGAGGGCAAGGACGAGGCTGGGCAGGCGAGAAAAAGGAAGAGTCGAGATGCGTGGACTGCCCAGGTTCGTCTCGTCTCATGCAGCCACCAGATCGGGGCGTAGGTTGATCCGCGCAGGGATCCAAGATGGGACTTGTGGACGGTGACCAGGCAGATGATATGGTTATTCTGAAGCAAAAGAGAGACGATTATACGAAACGGAGCTGAGAGAGTTGGGCTTCTGGTCAATGTCTCACGGGCCGGCCCGTCACCACCCCCCTGATACATACTTACATTATTTATATGAACGGTCAGGTTGCGCGGCCAGAGAGGACAAGAACCAGAGACACGATTACGATGAACCAGCAGGGGGGCAAAAAGAAACGAAAACGACGACCCAGCTGGGTTGATTGTTTGGGTCTGGGTCCCGCGGCTGCTGATAACTAGCTGGCTTGGTTACATATGCTGCGTGTCAGGGACGGGACAACTGTCAACCACACTACTGTCTATCATGACTAGTTATCGTGACCGGCTTCATCTGCTGAAGCTGGTGTTCTTCTTCTTCTTCCTCCTCCTCCTCTTTTGCTTGACTTGCCTCGCTTACAAGCTTTCTGGTTCCTGAGCCGTCATCGATTAGTTAGAGCCTAACACATGGCTGGTGGCTTGACCTGCTTCTTCAGACCTGTCAGCTCGTTCCTGGAGAGGCAAAGTCTGGAGTTCGAATGTGATGGATAGCTCAATATTCACAGCGTTTTGAAAGGCGGCTATGCTCTCGTGTCATCCAGGGAAAAAAAAGAAGAAGAAGAAGAAGAAACAGACTATTGACTGTTTTTAAGGGGTAAGAAAAAGTGAATCTACTATTCGATAGATAGGATCGAGATGATGGACGGGTTCGTCTGACAGCTTCTTCTGTTGGTTACTCGGTTGTTTTCTCTCCATTAGCCGGCTTCTCCGCCTCCGTCTATAGGAGGTCCCTGATATATCCCAAGAGAATGGAATCAAGGAAGCAGGGGTGAGGCGGGCGAGCGTACATATAAGGCATCCATGCATATACCGACATCCACAGCTCTGTGCAAAGCGGAGGAAGGAGATAAAATTAACTGGATCTCAGATCTCTCTTTTATTTATTGAAAAGCTGCCTTACCTACTCTAAAATATCACGATAGTAACAGGTAGAATTGAAAGGCCGAAAAAAAAGGGGGTAAAAAAGTCATAGACATAGAACGGGTTGATGGCCGGGTCGAAGGATTGTAAAACGTACATATCAAGCACTTTCGAAGGTAGAAAAGAAGAAGACAAAAAAAAGGGGCGTTGAAAAAAAAAGGGTTTCTTGAATCCTTTTATGTGTTCTCATGAGAAGCGAAGAGAAGTAGACAAGGTAAGGCAAGGATGGTGGCAAGATTGTACAAAGGAAGTAGAAGGAGAGAAAAGAAGAGAGACATGGCATTACAAGAGGAAGAAGAGAAAACAACAGTCAAGAACCGCCCCCTGAATTGCGCCGTAGAGGTGAAAAAGAAGAAAGAGACGAAGACGAGAAGAACAAGGCAGGCCAAAAGGGTATCAGATCCATCAGTGTACATACCATATTTCACCAAGATGGAGCTAGAGGGAGGGTAAACAGGCGTAGACACAACCGCCTCTCCCTCCCTATCATGACGACAAACGAGCAAACAAACTAAACCAAGCAATACAATTTTTTTTAGTGGGATGAGCGAGGATGATGGTTGATTTGAGACGAGGTGTGTTTTTTGGTTAGAGAAGGATGAGGTAGTTCGACGGTGCAATTCCCGTCTCACCCGTCGACTTCTTCGCCTGCCACCATCGCCCGCTGACGTCCGAAACCTCGAGAATCTCATGTTTTGTGAAACTGATCTCGTTCGCGTCATCTGGGTTGGCTTCATACGAATATATCGCCTTGGCACGGTAGGGGTACTCCGTCGGCTGTCCTACCTCGCCTGTCTCACCGCCGACAGTGCTAGCGTTGGTCTGCGAGCCGAGAACGGGCTGGAGACCCGTTGTGCTGGCGGCGGCAGGGTTGAATCCAGTCATGGGCGAGGAGGTTTCGAACCCGCTGAGAGGTGCGGACGAGTACATGTGTGGGTGGGCGGAGGAGACAGTTGTTTCGGGACGGGGCGTGTAGCTGTGAGAGATGGGCTTGCTGTTGCGGTAGCTGTGTGGCTGTTCCTTGTGAGGCGCAAACGAGTCAATGTACGCCCTAGGCCCTGACTGGGAGGTTGAGCCGAAGTAGAAGATCCAGACAATCTGTCAGATAATACATGTTAGTGGCGGGGGTTGTCCGTAGATATAACTGTACAAATTTCTTTTTAATGGCAGCGGCAGTACATACGTCTGTCATGGCGAGGAGGATGAGACCGGCGCCGGCAGACTGTCTGGCGCCCTGCTTGCTGGTGACCAGGCTATCAAGGGTAAATGTAGTGCAGACGAGGCCGGCAGCAGCGTATCCAACAACCTATCCCCCCGTCAGTCAGTATTTCATCGTCACAACGCCGGCACATCAGAGAGCAAGGTATAACCCACCGCCGTGCCGTAGATGTGGCTGGTATTCGAGCCCATCACGACCGCAACGCCGACCAGGACGCAGAGCTGGTATGCAATCGACCACCAGAAGAAGTTTGGAACCACCTCCTTCGTATGGGCGATGCTGCACGAGACAACGCCGATGATCCACGCCAGCTACAAAAGAGGTCAGCCATCATTCAATGGTAGGAGAGACAGGCCCAAGCAAAAGCAAAAGGTGACAAGGTGGTCCGTACCATGCCTATCGATACGGTTGCCAGCGCAAAGGGGTCGCCGACCAGGTTGCTCATCTGGAAGCGCGCCATCGTAGCAGCAGTTGGCCTTGATCTAGATACAGATAATTCGAGACGGTGACAGGGACGGCACGCGAGACCATCCACGGCTTCGCATGCAGCGTACTCTCTTTATCTATCAACGTCGGCGTTCGACTGTATCTGCACTATTTGTTTGACACCCGGCGAGGCTTGCTTGGGGTTTCTTGCTTGCTGCGGCAGTCTGTAGAGTGTTGGACGTGTATGACGGCAGCACTTCGACTTCTCGACTGCGTCTTCACTACGGAACGAGTGAAGGAGGTATCCTGTATCGGCGTATCTACCGTCCTGGTGAGTTGGAGCGATCTTCCCGGCGCTGCAAGGAGGGTGAAAGTAGTCGTCAGCGCCTGGCTGGGGGATTTACGGCGGAGGCAGAGGTTGGAAAAAAGGGGTTCAAGACGGGCGACGGCGAGGAGGGCGGGAGGTTGCCAGAACGAACGAAAGAAAAAAAGGACGAGAAAGCGAGAGTGAAGACGCCGCAGGAGAAGAAGAAGAGGAGGAGGAAGAGAGAGAAGATGAAGTCGAGAATGACGGGTCAAGACGAAGAGATGGAGATGAAGATAAAAAAAGCGACTTTCAGGAGGAGGAAAAAGCAACGAAAAGGCGTTTTTTAGTCTTACTTAAGCCGCTCTTTTATTTTATGGCTTGAACTTTTTATATTAATAGCAATTATAGGTAGAGGGAACAAGAGACGCAGGACGCTGTGATGAGAAGATAGAATGCAGATGTAGAAGACGGAGAGAAGACTGGCGGAAGGTCGCTGGCTGTCCTACGCCACTGGCAGGGCCGTCTCCTGCTTCTGTGGCCGTTCTGTCTGTCTGTCTGGCCCGCCGGTCTTTGTTTCGCGCGCGCCAAGTTGGCCTGCAAGAGGCTCGCTGGCTTGCTGGCCTGTGGAGTTGGGGCAGTTTCAGGCCAGTGTGCTTGACGATCGATGCCGCCGGGCGGGTTTGAAGGAGAGGCGTTGCTGTCAATGTAAGTGCTGGTTGTTGTTGCTGCTTGTTGCTGTTTGTGAAGTCCCTTTAGATACTCTCCCTGCCAATGGACCGTAAGGTGACTCTGGCTTCTGAGGGCCGTACGTAACCCCCTGAAGACGGGGGTGTTTGTGTATATGTATCAGGCAAGGGAGGACAGTTAAGAAACTCCGAACGGCTTGATGGGGATCCATGTTTGAAGTCTGGACGAGTGGCCATCGCGGGCTCCACGAGTTCTGTCGTGCGTCCTCCTGTTTCACCTGGTTGAAGCACGCCAGCCAACTGGTTCCCAAGCGTCGATGGGGAGCCTCAGTAGTTAGTTAGTTAGCATCAACGGCGAAGAGTCCACCGCCTCTCGACGCTATGTCTTTACCCATTCTTCAAACATTTAACCCTCTCTTGGTCCTTAATCCGCTGGTCTGGCCTGGCCTGGCCCGGAGGTATGCCGCTTATTCACCGTTTATCCGTGGACAGTAACAGTTAACCTAGTAGAGCCTCGGGGAGGGAAGGTTGAACGCTGAGGCTAGTCCCTCTCCCTCGCCTTCTCCTCCCTCCTCACCCCTCTCTCAACCATCTTCATCCTCTCCTCCCATTCCCCCCATACCTCTCCGCCGCCTACAACGCCAACTTCAACCCACCGCTTCATTAACAGTGTACTTTGCACCCTCAACTCGGCAATTTCCTCCGCCTGGCGTCTCTGCGTCTCCAGCGCTCGGTCTATTCGGGGCTGCAGCTCGACAAGGGCCGTAGAAGCGCTGGCAGGGGGGATGGGAAGGTCCTGTAGAGAGCTGAGCCGGGATGCTGTTTCGGGGAACGCAGTGGCATATGAAAGCACGATGGAGGCTAGAGTTGCCGGTGTCATTGTGGCAGGCGGTGTGTGTGTTGACGCAGACTGGAAAAGGTCGGGATACCGTGAGTCTAGCTACTGTTAGAGACGTATAAACAAAGTGTATTGTAGGCAATGGCATGCATACAAAGCTTGAGCACATCTTGGACGGCCGGGACTCGCGCGGAGAGCCGTCTGAGGCCATGCTCGAGCTCGGCGAGCCGCGCAGAGACCGTTTCTCGCACTGAAGCTGGCGGTTCAGAGGCCTGCTCTGGCTCGCCCGCCCAGTTCGTCTGGCCGGTCAGCAGGAACTCAATGCGTCGAAGGCGAGTCTCGAGCAGCTCGATCGTGTCTGCCGCAGTGTTCGTAGTGTATTCTGTCTCCATCCTAGCTATTCGCCGAAGCTCTCGTGCGTTGTTGTTGTCGCAGTTGTTGTAGTTGTTGTAGTTTGCAAGTTGTCGATGTTGTTTGACGTCAGTTTTTGCTTGCCAGGAACCGAACCTTAACCCGATTAGGAAGAACTCAACACTGATACTGCTAGGCACGAAAAGAAGAGATGATGGATTGAAAAATACAGGCGAAGAGAATATGGAGGATATTATTGTAACTACGCTGTTGAGGCTGCGCTTGTCTCTACGTCAACCTGCATACTATCCTCGTCGTGCTCGTTCTCCTCCGTGATCTGGTCCATCAAGCTCCCCTGGCCACCAGCACCAGCTCGCTGTCGAGGCAGCCCCGGCGGAGGCATGATGCTCGCACTGTGCTGTCCTGCTCGTTCTTGCATCTCTTGTCCCTTGACGTCTGTCTTCTCACCGGTCTCCTCCTCACCATCGTTAGTCATATCCTCCATCAGAAGGTCCTCCTGTTTGGCCGTGTTCGTCTTTCCTTCATATTCGGCAGTAAACTCTGCAAGCTCCTGCTCGAACAATTCATTGTCCTTGTCGATGAAGTTCTATGTCCAGAGTTAGCACGGATTCCGACATATTAGCGAATATATACACACCTTTAATGGTTCAGGAAGCTCCCCAGCCTCGGAGCTCATGGCCTCTTCGTTGGCATAAACCAGGACAACACTCGAAGATTCCTCCTTTGCCGCATGGAGCACTTCAATCTCTCGCACGGGGCACGCCGTGTACCCGACGATATCCACGTTATCTGCTACCGTAGCCCTGGACACTGGCTTGCTACTGGTCGGCCCGGACGTGGACGGTTCAATCTGATTAGACGGTTTCAGGCTCGCGGATCCGGTGCTGCCGACTTTCGCATCATCGACTGAGAAGCTGAACCTCCACCACTGCCATTGCTCGGTTGCTGGTACGTCGGGGACATCGTCCGTCATCAGGTCTAATTCCGGTTTCCGCGGTCTCAGCACATAAAATATGTGTGGCTCCGTGCATACTCCGCGAAGGGTATACTTATGCCTTGGTGATTCCTCTGCAGATGAAGCCTGGCCAGTAAAGCAGTTTGATAACTGCCGGAGGCTCTCAATAGCTTGCGTCTTTCTTTCTTCCAGCTCTGGGGGATTCTTGTATTAGTATGCTATGCACTATCAAATGACCAGTACTAGACTCACCTTGTATTTTATGGGTAATCTGCTCCGTTAATGTCTTCAACTTTTCAATTAAATCGACCACATCCTCTTGCGTGGTAGACGGAGCTCCATCGACCTGGTATGGCCCAGTCAGAGCCACCCGAGATCCAGCAAGCACTTTCTGGACTAACGTGTCAACAGAGATGCTTCCCCTCTTAGAGAGATATCGATCAACCATCGCCCCCAACTTCTCCAGCTCAACGTCAACAACAACACGACGTTTCCTAAGCTCCACTGCAAACTCCTTGCAATGCTTCATGTACCGGTCAGGATACCAAACAGAAGGAACCTTCAAATCAATCCTGTTGCCGTCGTGATTGGTTATCCGCATAGTAAAAACAGGTGCAACCTCTTCTAGCCAGATATCGTCCAACTCCTTACCAGGCATATCACACCATATATGTCCATCTAGGAGGTCATATAGTGTCCTTCCAGAGGTCCTATCAATCGAAAGGTCTAGCAATGAGAATGGTTCATTGGCACATTCGTCCTCCGAAAGCGCCTGTTTGACACCTCTAGAGTAAAATGTTTTCTGGGGCAATTCCCCTTCCGCGGGGGGCGAGATTTCCTCCCAAAGTTTTAAAAACGTAGCTATTCTGTCCTCACCTCTCCAACACTTTAAAGAAGGAAGGCCAGATAGGACATCTGCGCTTCCAAAGGCTCGCTGAGAACGGTCCAGAAAAGCCATTAGCCGTTGGGTCTCATGCACTGCGTCCTCACACGGTGCTTCTGCTTGATCAAGAGTAGCCAAAGCCGGCTGTCCATTCCACCATTGGCTGTCATTGCCATAATCTGGAGCCACCCTATCTCTCCAAAGGAGCTCTTCCCTGGCTATGGGTATAGAGTGCAGAATAGTCAAAAAGGCAGAGAAATGGTCTGCCTCCGGTCCCGGTCGAAGAAATCGAGGCGTGTCGTCTATCCGCCGTCTAAGCTCTGGGTCCGGATCAATAGATATCTCCCTGGAAACAGTACTGGGTAGCGTCAAGGCCCACAGCTCAGTATCATAGTATTCCTTATTCGCAGGACCAAACTGCGCACCCTCTGCCGCAGTGACCCCTGATTCCTGTTCTCCAGACGCTATGTTGTGCCCAAGTGACGCGGTTATCGCATGCTGCATCTCGTGCTCCTCGCGTTCCGCCAACGTAAGGCCATCAGTGTTCATATCGTCCGCTAATTTCCCAACACCGGTCTCCCTGTAAGCGCAAGCTACGTAACTACTAAAACGGGGACAGTTGCAAGAAGCTCACAGTAATTCGGGTTTCCTAAGGTGTTCGGCGTCTGGGTCGTAGACTCTACATTCTTCTTCTCACGGATACCGACTCGTGACGGCGGACGGGACGGGGCTGACAAGCCGCCAACATCTATACGGTCGATATCAAACGATCCTCGAACAAGTCAGAACAAATGGACACTAGCCGGGGGGTTGAATAAGTGTCCATTGAAGCATTGATCACTAATCGAGGAAGCGGTGTATGCTTACTCTGGGGAGTTGGGCTGTGGAAATCATGGGCGAGGGGGGTGGGTAGAATTTCCTCGACCTATCCATGCATTCATTGTTAGTCCTCTTGTCTGTCTGTTGGGGAATAAGCAGTCCTGCTCACCGGCGGTAGAGGGTCGTTTGGGTTTTCAAAGTAAGCATTGATAGCTCTATGAGAGTCGCCATTATTGTGCTATAATTCGTACAATGAAGCTGTTAGCAGGCTGCATGTTCAAGCTAAGGGAGGAGAGGACCAAGTAGATGAGGGGATCCGAAGGTACCTGGAGAAAGGCAATCGCCCGTTCCCTGGAGGCGTTGGTGAACGAGACGAAGGCCTCAATCGCCTCGTCTGTTATCTCCGGCACCATCTCTGCCTTGCACGCTGTCTTGCTTGCTCTTTGGAAGTGGTGAAGCCGCGAAGCCAAAGCTGAAGTTGCAGCAAGCAGGTTGATGAACTTATAGATCGACAAGAAAAGTCACGGGGGCGGCCGCATTCGTCATCTTCTCGCCTCCGCCGCTTTCAAGCTGCAAACCTTCAACTCTCACGACGTGAATGACGTCGAGAGGTGAGATACCTTACTATCATCGCGATGGTATTGACAGGTAGCATGGACGGCCTACTGAAAGGACATTGCTGTACTCGCTAAGATGGCTTTAGCGGCTTTTTCTCTTTGCTCTCTAGTTATCGCTTGCCAATGCTGCTCTAGATCTTCCTGTCCAGGATCTCTGTACAGGTCTACAGATTACTATGCTGCCACCCTAGCAGCAAGGGCTACCTGAAGAAGATGCCAGAATCCGATCAAACTTCATGGAAGATACCCATTTTCTTTGTTTGTTATCTCCGGATGGATGCAGGGCGTGTGTTTGACGGAACTTCCCTGGGGTTTCCCCTCTAAGGCAGCAGAATTTTCAGCTATTTATACTAAACATCGTCAAACTTACAACATTGCCTCCATTACTGGCGCGTCTACTTGAGTCACTTCAGTGCTGATAGGCTCGAAACAAGATGGCTGAGCCACCAGCCAAAGATGGCCTGGAGACTCCAAACATTCTCAAAAAACTCAAAGCAGAGAGAAACCAGCATAGTTACAGAGATCTGCTCTCGAAATGGGAAATACCTATCAACGAATCCGAAGCGGATATAGCAAAATATTTTGTATCCAAAATCTTTGAAGGCATGGCGAAGAACGTGTCACTGCAACATGCAGGGAAAGCTCGGGGTTCTTCTTTTGAACAAAACTACCTGAATTCACAGAGGTGTGTCCAGGTCCAAGCGTTGGTCGACATGTTGCTACCAATTTCCAGTGGCTCCATGGAAAATGACCCATCCATATCTACACCCTTGAAGGACAGATACGAGTCACATCCAATACCCTGGTGCTATTGTTCCGACCCCTGGGATCATGGAACCCTGTTGATGAGAAATAGATGGTACAATCTCTACGAGGGGATTCCAGACTTGGAGTATATGTTGATGTTGGTGCAAGCGGACCATTTCAGAGAAATGCTATGGTATCTCGAACCAAGGCGTTGGGATTACATGGTGGCCTCCCTTCACCAATATCGTACTAGTATCAAGGTCTTCGCTGAAGTTATCCATCTAGATTTTAGATGGCCATTTATTGCAAGGGCTAGGCAGCTTCCCATGGAGCTGGCCTATGGCTACTTTAAAGGAAAACGACTGAGTGACTACCATCCCCATACAATAGTAGTCAATGACTCCAAAGAAGAAATCTATGGTGTCGCTGCAGGGTTTAGGCATACTGAGTTTTACAAAATACTTCATTCTTTGGCCTCAGTAGATAGAGCTCTATCCAACGAAGCGAATAAAAATCCTCCACCGTTTTGCAAGATCAACTACAACATCACGGATGAACGGGCATGCATTTCTTGCCTGAAACGGAAACACTTGTGTCTATGTGAATACTCAGGAGGAAAAGATGAACTTTTCTTCCGTTCATCATTCTTACAACTGATGGACTGCAACGACGGACGTGGGACTGGCGTACGGTCCCTCATCAGAGTCAGCGAGGGTGTGAACCTGGGAACTTTGAGAGGGAAATTACGAGATCCGGACCCCATCGGCTGTCCCTTAACCCTGATATCAGGGGAAATGAGAGGTGTCATCACAAAAGTCAACAAGCATGATTCTGGCAACTGGACTCGTTTCTTGAATCACTCCTGTGACCCCAATTCAAGTGTTATTTTCGGTATATACCAGGGAATTCCAACAGCAACAATCGTCACAACAAAGTGCATTCAGCCAATGCAGGAGGTAACGATAGACTATGGGAAAAAATACATTGACACGTTATTCTGGATCTGCCTGTGTAAGAGCTCAACATGCAGATATTCAAACGATGATGATGAGGATGAGGAGGATGACCCGTCTCTTTTCTCATTGACGAAAGGAAGTCCTATCGAGTACCACTGCGAGAAGGAAAGGGTTTCATGTAACTAGTTTCCACATGCTTGCTATCTGGTTAATCTTAACAATGGTCAAGACTCCAGGGTTAGCCAGTTAACTAACTATTTAGCTTAGAATGTCAAGAAATAAACCACAGTACACAACCTATTATCTTCATCGCCTCCTATTATTTCTATCTGGCAAGCAACAGAGTATACAGAGTAGTCAACTCCCCCCTAAAGCATCCTCAACCACAGGCACTGGCTTCGGCTATCAGGAGTGGCGCCGAGCCCCCTTGCCCAGCTAACTAACCAACTAAATTCTGGGGCTCTTCAGGGTCCTCCCCGCAAGTATAAATGGCTATCTGACCGTCGCTCACTCCCTCGGCTCGTTTTCTCAGGCTCGAGAACATGAGACAGTGATCGCCAGCTGTGTTATTTTTCATTATTTATTCCTTATAGAGTCTTTTCCTTTTTGTTAGCGTTCGTCGTTCTCTTTTGCAGCTCGATCGTCCCTTGCATTTAACCACGGAGGCCGCATTTGAAGTACTTAGCAGACAGTCGACTATGCGGGGAACAACGACGCTGCCATGGCAGCTCTCCAGACGGATCGCAAGCCTACCGAGGACGACATGGAGCTGTCGCAGCTTATACGGAGTGGCTCAGAGTCGGAAGGCATCTGGTCAGAGCTATGCTCGAGGGCCGTCGGAGGTTTGTTAATTAGGAACCTTCCCAGTTTTCCCCTGGTTGATCGTTGAGCTGACGGATATTCCCCTTCTCGTGCGACGCAGCCGCCGTTATTTGAGCAGACCGTCGGCGATTACTTTGCGGATACTGTGAAGAAATATGGGGAGAGGACTGCGTTAGTTTTGGTGCTGCCTGTTCTATTTTGTCGTTTGGGGAGGACTGACGTTGTTCGGACCGGACAGGGTTATTTCGAGACACCAGGGCCAGAGAGTGACATATGAGGAATTGGATCAGAGAAGCAATTCGCTAGCTCGTGGACTGGCGTCTACCGGCATCAAAAAGGGCGACAGAGTAGCCGTGTCTTTGGGAAACGGACTAGAATATGCCATTGTGAGGATACGGTGAAGCAATCTGGGAGAGAGACTGCTGAGCTGACCATTGATTTCATAGGCGACATATGCTCTGTTCAAAATGGGAGCAGTCCTGGTAAGTACATCTTCATTTACCCATGCTCGGTGACAGACAGCTACTGATATCATACCCAGGTCCCTCTTAATCCATCGTTCAATTTCAACCAGGTGGCATCTGCCCTCAGCCATCTGGAGGCCTCTCACTTGATCATAAGTACCGAAGTCAACCTGCCTCGAAAAGACCCTCGGTCGAACATTCCCTTGCTACAGGAGCTTGTTCCCGATCTTCAGTCCGTCAAACTCCAGTCTACTGTCAGCTCCCTCAAACAGATCATCCTAGTCCAGAACGATGCCGGTCGAGTTGATACCTCCGCATTAAAATGTATCACACCGTATACATCGATATATTCCGAGCTCCCACAGGATATGAAGGCCCTGCCCGACCAGGGACTCTCTCCAACTGATGTTGTGAATATCCAATTCACCTCGGGGACAACATCGATGCCCAAGGCAGCATGCCTGAGCCACCTATCGATATTAAACAATGGGGTGCAAATTGGGGATAGAATGTTGCTCACGCCCAAGGATATCGTATGCTGTCCCCCGCCGCTCTTCCACTGCTTCGGATGTATCCTTGGATACATGGCAACAGCCACTCATGGATCAGCCATAGTTTTCCCAACCGAATCCTTCAACGCAGTAGCAACGTTGAAAGCTGTGCAGGAAGAGAAGTGCACGGCACTCTATGGCGTACCGACCATGTTCATAGAGGAGCTCGACCTCCTTGCAGACGGTGTCGTACCCTATGAGGGATTCCAGTACCTGCGCACTGGCATTGCAGCCGGCAGCAGCGTGCCATCTGAACTGATGAAGAAGCTACACAAGACGCTCAACCTGACTGAGCTGACAATATGCTACGGTATGACGGAGACGAGCCCCGTCTCGACGATGACTGCAACGGACGACCCGATTGAGAAGCGGCTGAACACCGTGGGCAAGTTACTTCCACATGTCGAAGCCAAAGTGGTCAATCCTCTAGATTACGATCAAATACTCCCTCTGGGCGAGAGGGGTGAGCTGGCTGTCAGCGGATATCATGTCATGAAGGAATATTGGGGGGCACCCGAGAAGACTGCCGCGGTGATGGTGCCAGACTCTGAAGGGAAGATATGGATGCATGTGAGTATAGCTTCTTTTTTGTTTGCTTCTTCCTATTCTTGTTTACGGTCGCTAATCTATTCGTCCACAAGACCGGTGACGAAGCTTCAATGTCCGCCGACGGATACATCACCATCACCGGGCGTATCAAGGACCTGATCATCCGTGGGGGCGAGAATATTCACCCTCTTGAGGTCGAAAACTGCCTTCTCGCTCACCCCAGCGTGTCCAACGTATCTGTGCTAGGGGTCCCCGACGAGCGCTACGGGGAAGCCGTTGCCGCGTTTGTGGTAACACACGCCGAAGGGGAGGGCAAGGTGACGTCTGCAGAGATCAAGAGCTGGGTTCGGGGTAAACTGAGCCATCATCTAGGTAAGTGAGTTGAGAGTCGAGAGCTGTCGCCCATCCCATCTGCACCACCATTCCCATCCCATCCCGGACAACTTCCTTGATCCCTTCACCGAGGCCGAAAGCCAGGGCAAAAAAGCAAGTCGTCCCAACTCGATGGGATGGTCGCCGTGTCTGCCCTACCCTGCGATCATCCCGCCAAGGCCACCCTGGCAAGGCTTGATTTTGCTTATTTGAGGTTATTCGATGGTGATGTCTGTTTGTTTTTCCTTCCTTTGGCTCTTCGCTTCAAGATTTCTGGCCTCGCGATAAGCTGGGTTGGGTATCTTGCTGCATTGCCAGCACATGGGCAGAGTCGTTGTTTCATAACACTCGCACAGCATATACCCAGCATGGAGCTGCGGATGGCTGATCCTATACCCGCGATTGACTGATTCCCCAAGATGGAAAATTGGTCATGACCAATTGTCGCTAGCGCGAGCAGGAGACTCCGCTTAACAGCGTCCAATTGTCTCGCTGTCATTAAATCTATCGCAAAATTACCATTCTCCCCATTATATACTTCCACGCATACGGAGTGTATATAAAGTATTCCACACCACCAGGTTGCGACGATGGCCGTGCAACCTATCCTCCAAGGTCTCCATGTGATCCATGTGGAGTCCACGAGAGTGGCAGTGGCTGGCAACTAGCGCAAGCTTCCCATGTCTGCAAGACTAGGACTGTTTCTGTCAAGCGTCCTGGTCTCGCTGCATGTCCGCTCGCCTGAATGCTTGTCACGGCACAGGGGGCCTGCTGCTGCACCTTTTGTGTCTCCTGCCCCCTCTTTCCCCCTTTTTTTGAGTTGCATTCGTTCGCCCTCGCTCGCCATCACCGTCCATTCGGCTGTCGACCCGGTGCTACGAATCCGTGCCATTAACGGAGCTGAAGCTCTCATCTCAACGCTCAAGCCCTCTTTTCCAATTATTTTACCTTTGTCCCATCGCTGGTTTATATATACACAGACTCAAATCCTTCGAAGCCCAGTTCCCCGGAGAATTTCCCCATGGATATTTCTCTTTTCTCCCTGAGCTTTCTTTCTTTTTTTTCTGCGTTGCCTTAGTTACCCCATTCCACGACTCGCCTTTCGCCTTTCTCCCCTCTCCCTCCCGTTTCTTGCATTTTATTCCGGGCTGATTTTTCGGTCACCGGCGCTAACGACGATCACTTCCTGCTTGACAGTGCCTAAATATATCTTCTACATCGATGCCTCGGACTTCCCAAAGACCGCTAGTGGCAAGATACAGAAATTCAAGCTTCGTGAACGTGCAATTGAGCTGATCAAGGACGGTCAGCACCAGTAAATGGTAGCGGCATCGGCAGCGGCACGGCAGCACAAACTGAGCGAACTTGAAACAAGCTCAAGCGGCAGAAAGTGAATTGGTTGCTTTTCCCGGGTATTTTGGATATCGAAACGTGGAATCGAGTGAACCTGTCACTGGGTATGGCCATGGCTTGTTTTTTCTGGGAGCAGCATGAGAGAATTAAACCACCACTATCCCGCATGCTCGCCCCCCCTATCTATCTGATTCATCTCCCGCTTTCGCATCCGCTGCCTTGACCTGACCTCCTGCCTCGTCACCCCCTCCATCGCCTCCCACCCCTGCGATATATATTGTTTATGTTTCTCCATATGTCGTCATCAAAATGGAGGCATCCTCATATAAGTACTTAAGTACGGGTGCACTATTGAGTATTTAAATGGGGCACCATAGGTACCCATAGAACTAAGTAGTTTTACCAGACAAGTGTAAAGTACAGGATAACTAGCGCGTATGTAAAAACTGGGAAAACCCCTCTCGTATCTTCTCCGGATTACCCTGAGGCGGAAGAGATAGGGATATGAAGTAGCCTCGTATCCTTTTTATGTTCACAATTTTGGATTAAGGATAGATTGGGTTAACTAGGTTGCTCCAGAGTTCTTTGAAGCGAGGTGCCTTCGAACCGAAACTGACGTCGCTACCCGTTCTCTCCGAGTTGCAGGTCAAGAGTAATAATCGTAAAATAAGATGAAACAGAAGCGAGGCCAGGAGAGACTCTTGCTGGATAGATATATTTGGAAGCGCCCTGGTAGTATCACGTGATGATGTATTTTCCATTGTGAGCCCGTCTTGTTGGTCAAACGTTGGACCTCAGCTACAACGTCCTTGACAGAGCCTCTCTGCTATGCAGCAGCCTGGATGCCTTGCGGCTCAAGTCGTGACCGTTGGAAGGGTTGAGCTGGATACCCTTTGATACTCTAGTGGGATGCAGCTAGTAACGGATATATCCGTGAAAGGGCCATGCTACCACATGACGGGGTCAGTCAACAAGGTCAATATCCAGTACTCTGTAGGTACTGGAAGCTTAGAAATGACGACGACGACATCAGCTCAGGAATGAGGAATATGGAAGATTACTCATGATACGAATTCCTCCGATCCATCTAGCAGGAGTCACCGGCAGTATTCCATAGGAGTCACAGCTCCTTATCTCATGGCAGATGACTCTTATGGACAAAAGTTGATATTGATACCGATGTTTGAAAACGATACCCGAAGAATCGAATCAAAGACAGCCTTCCGAGCATATGCAAGGGGCCACGAATAATGCTGCAAGGGACTTTCGCCTTGACGATTCAAGGCCTTTGTGACCATATGATCTCGAGTTAACACGGAGTCATTACTATATCCAGAACTAACAAGGCGAGGTACAAGTCATGGTTGCCCAGAAGGTATTTACCCGTGGCAAGGCCAGACGTGAGCTGGGTCCACGTACTTTGATATACGTGGATGCCATGGCCAGTTCCGTGAGAACCTTTCGACGTGCGTGAGACGCCCGACAGATATTATATTTTATTATATGTATGCTTACCTTATAAGCACAACGCAACGGTCACTCAGCAGGCATCCCTGGCGGACTGGGCTATATATAATTCGAGAGCAACCACCAGGATAAAAGCGGATACTCACTGACCCAACAAATTGATGAAAAAAACATACTTACAAGCTTACTTGCAGGGATATGGATGGAGGGATTACTTCCTTACTTTACAATACACGCATAACTCCCAAATTTACGATACTGTATGTAAGTCAGTACCTACGTATGTACCAAGCCCGGCAAGGGGAGTCACTCCGTTGACAACTTGCACTGCCGACATATACGAGAGGCAGGCAGACATCGAAGGTCGAGTTGAGAATTGAGCATCAAGAAGAGGGTGAATTAAGCCTTCTTGTCGTGGGACGAGGTGCATGAACATCTCCATCTTGGTGGTGGACGTTGAAAAGTGGAAGTATTTTAACGGCAGGCGAGCTTGACGCGGAATATTAAAAAGTATGAAATGTGTCTTTCATGGATGGCCAGAAGCAGAAAAAGAGTTGTTCGGCGCACGGTCAGGGTACATCGCTACTTACATCGCTACATCGACATTTTTGACATCAAATTTATCGCCATCGCGGTGGTGAACTTGGACGGTAGTTGGAAGTTGCAAGTTATGCGCCACTCGCTTCCATCTCGATCAGCTGTGCGCAAAAAGCCACTGACCCACGAACGCGGCGATGGATTCACAGAAATACCTGGGGAAAATACACCGTCATAACTCGGGGTAGCGCAAGCCATCCAACAACAAACAACAGCCCGGAGGAAGGACGTTGTTGGTCTTGCCGCTTCCATCTGCCATCTGCCAGCGCGCGGCTGAAATCAAGCTAGCGTGTTTGCTTGATGGTATATACGGGGATGGCAAGAGTGATGTTCAGCATGCTCTATCTACTTAGTATGTGATGGGCCGTCATATGATGGCACACAACGGACGGTCGAGCTGCTTCGTGGGCTGTAAGGGCATCTCGATAGGTCAAACGTGAGGACAGGCAGAGAGAAAGAGAGAGAGAAGCGGGAATCGACTCGGCAGCTCGGCATGTCGGCAGTTCTGCACATCATCATCATCATCATCGCCATGACATGACATCCTGTCCTATCTTTTGCTCCTTGATCTGAAACTCGGCCCATCGCCCATCCACCCTCTCCTGCCGGCCTTCTTCAGGAAAAAAAAAAGGAATCTTTTCATCGCTTATCACACGCCCGTCTCCCGTCTCCGTCTTCATCTCCCCTTCTTCATCTCGCGCGAGAGGAAAAGAAAAGTTTGCAATCCCCACGCACGGTCCGCGGAAAAGCCCCTGCTTGACTCCCGTTAAAGCAGCACTGTTTTATTTCCTGAACAGGCCTAGCGTAGGGACAAGGTGCAAAACAGGGTCCAAGCTTCTTTTTCACCCTGCATGACATGATTACATAAGTCTGCATTAGGGATAAAAATAGACACCGAACTCAAACTCGCCCGCATAAAATGACTTGCTTAGCTAATATTCCCTTCCATGCCGCGTTTGGCGCTGAATAAAAAAGCAGGAAAGAAGAAGAAGAGCAAAAAGGCCTGCCTGCCTGCATGGTTCAAGATGGGATGGCTGGGTGTTCTGGCCCTGTCCTGCTCCCATGACTGAAGAGATTTTTTTTTTTTTCTTCCTTACTTCTGTTTAAGCATATACTCCAGTGTATGTAAGTAAGTTGCTGACAGGGTGGTCGGAAACATCAACAGGCGGTTTCATATTTTTATCCCCGAGCACAACACAGTTCCCATACCAGCTAGTTTTATAAGTGCTCCATATATTGGTATAGATAGACCTGTGGCCTCTCCGGATGCGGCATTTAGCACTAACTAAGATGATAAAAAAAAAAATACACACTTCTGACACAAGCGGGCCTCTCACCGTCCGACGCCCTCCTTTTCATCTCCTCCGATCGTTCGTTCGGCCTCACCGCGCCTCCGTCCGTCCGTCTTGCCATCCCATCTTATATCGTCATCTGTCCCTTTGCCGTCCTCCACACTCCGCACAGCCAACATCATAATATTTTTTTCTTATATATGTATGCGTGGGTGGTTATGCACTTATGTAACCAACACGAAGGGGTCAGAGAAGGGGGGAAGAGGGGGCCACGCAGCCGAACCGATCTCATCGCATCGCATTCATGCATGTCATGTCCAAGCAGTCGTCAAGCCCTTGGCGAGATCGCACAGCCTGCCTGCCTGCCTGCCCCTTCCACGCAGCATTTTTTTCGAGTCGTTTAAAAGTCGTGGCATTTTTCAGCGATTTCCCATGGTGCAAGTTACTTAAGTATCATGATCGTTGCCATCGTCATGGTCATGGTCATGGTCATGGTGCTGGCCCCTCGATCCCTGGCCCGTCCTGTCCCTTCGTATCGGGGCGACCAGCGCACGTTCGTCCAATCCCTCATCGGCGATTAGTGATGTTCATGGGCCGCCCGGGTTAAGTATATAAGTACTTATGTATCGCCCCAGCCAAAGATGAGTGAGCAGGTACTGGCCGGAGAATACATGCGAAGTTCCGCGCTGGCCGCAGGGAAAGGCAAAGGCAAAAAAGCGAGCCAAAGGAAAATAAGGGAAGCTTTTTCTGGAACTTACGGGGATGGAACATGGGGCATGCATGGGTTTTGGGGGGAGGGAGGGAGGGTGGACTGTATGTACGTATGGTCACGTATGTATGTATGGTAATTACGGTAAGGCGGTTCCAGGACAAGCAGAAGAAGACGCCAGTTAGAGAGCAAGACAAGAGGAGATAGACGACAACGAAGAACAAGAAGAAGAGTTCGACGACAATGGTAGGTTATGCTGTCATGCCCCCATGGGGTAACCAGAGAATTGAAGAGACAGAGATAAGGGAGAGCGAGAGAGAGAGGGAGAAGACCAGCCTCGAGCCTCTCTTGCTTTGCCGCCGGGGCTAACGCCGTCTCTTTCGGCCGCTGCAACGTTCCATCTCTCGTCTTCTGCTCTACCACATCCGTTGCAGTGACACTATACTCCGGACTTAACTTACAGGCTTTTCCAAAGAGTCTTTTTTTTATCTGCGGAGTATCGAGAGCTTATGTTTTATCATCTGCCATCGCCACGTCACGTGGGTTTATCTCGAAGGTCGCCTGTAGTTCGTAGTTCGTAGTTCGTAGTGTTAGTGGTTAAGTTGGTAGCACGACCAAGCCATGCCCGCCATGCCATGCCCTGCCGTGCTCACCAGCCATGTAACCCGTTAGATTACTCTAATATAAAGGAGGTTAGTTTTAGAGGTTAGAGGTAAGGAGGTAAGGAGGACGAGGAGGAGGATTATGGGAGGGACAGGATGGGTGGTGCAGGAGAGTCGGTAAACGGCCCCGGTGTATCCCTTGACCATGGCGGTTGTCGAGCACTGCTCACCGTCAGTTTGTTATACTTATATTATTACCCTGGAAGTAAGTATCGCCATGCTGATCAACAGACAAGTACCCCTAGGTATCTATTTCTCCATCGAGCAGTGAGTGCCCTTCAGGCAGTATTTATTTAATCATTATATACTTACTTAATTGTCCCATGTCAGCGGTAGAGTTAACTAGCAGCTAGCCACTGCGGCCCGTCAGTCGGAGCTTTTACTGGGCAGTTCACCACTACGACTAACTAACTAGCCTAACTAACTACCACGGCATCGCTTGCTTAGGCGTACTACCGGCGACAATGCAAACAAACAGAGAGAGACACACACACCCATTATTAAAGACGTTTCATCAAGCAAGCCCTGGAGTCTAAGAATTAACGTCTGAACTCAAGCCGTGCGTGCGTTCCCTTGCTGGCCAGCCCACCAGCCCGTCCAGCCCGTCGATGGCGCCTCGTAATGGATTAGTCCGTCCCTCAGGGGGAGGAGGTCTCTCCATGTCAGAAATGCGGTATTTTCTTCAAGGACAGTCACAGATGCTGGTTAGTTACTTTGCAAGCTAGCTGGCTGGCAGGCCAGCTTATTTCTCCGCCCGGTAACTCGTTCAATTAACTCCCTGGCAGCCCTGCTTGACATGGCGGTCGGTGAGTGGACGCGCAGGGAGATTGATGATTATTGGGAAGAAGAAGAGGATCCCCTTAACTCAAGCTAGAGCCTGGAAGCCCGGATGGGGATGGGACACTCCCTTTCCTCCTTTCTACCCGATGGTGAAACCACAAGCTGTAGCTTCATGCAAAAACAAACCAACTGAGAACAGGCCCGGCAGTTGAAGTCGTGTGTTATTCTCTCCCTCCACCCAAAAAGAAAGAAAGAAAGAAGAAGAAGAAAGGCCAGCCTATTACGAACCGGCCGAAGCTTGAATGCAATTGACTTGGGGTCCTTCTTCCAACTGGTGAGGCGATGTGGGTGGTGGGAGTGTTTCTTTTTCAACTGATATCCATCGGCCATCGGTATTATTGAGAGCATTTTAGCTCGTTTACTTAGTTGGTTTAGTTGTTATTAGTTATTATTCCTTCTGTCCTGTCCTGCATGCATTATATATGCAACAACAAGCATCCCATCCACCCACCGCATCCCCCGTCCAACCAGTCAAAGTCACTGGGGCCCAAGCAGAGCTTTTTTTGCTTCTTTTTCTTCCACCCCTTCGGCATGTCTGAGAGAGTCTTTTTTTCTCTTCAAGCTTGTCTTGGCCGAGACTGGGGAATTTCGAAAGGAACTGGCGGCTAGCGGGAATAAATCAATTAGCTGGCAGGTCGATGGGGGGAGGGAATAACGGATGTGCTATTACTGGCTTGTTGGGGGAAAGGGGCACGCGACCGACCGCTCTTCCACTACATGATGAGATGATGAAGATGGAGATGGAGATGGAGATAAGAGATAGAAGTCGAGAGTAAAAGAAGAGAGATGGAGAGTGATGTTAATATTATGTAACTGGCAACTGGCCAGTCGGATGTTTTTGAGGAGAAGCCTGAAAAGGGGGGTGTGGGTGGGCAGAAGGCGAAGAAGGATACACTCGGAAGACCAGGCCAGCAGCACTGCCTAATAATAATAACCAGAGCAGAGAATAGAGAGATAGTCGTGGTGATATGAGCATGGACTCGAGAGGCGTCGAGCATGGCACATCGCATGGCATGGCTGGCCCTTACTCTCCGACTAGCTTGAAGGCTTGAAGGCTTGAAGGGCCTGAGGGATTCTCGGGATGTCCATCTTTGGCGTCCTCCCTCTCTTCGGCACCCGTTCCCGTGGAAGTAAAAAGTACCTAACCTAGCAAGCCATTTTCATGTAACCAGTGAGTAAACCAGCGAGCCACGCGGACGCTTTTTGTTCTTTTTCTCCGTGAGATGGGATAGGATGCCGGTCTGATACTCGACTTCGGTTACAAAACATCCAAGAAATGAAGAAGAACAAGAGACCAAGAAGGAGTCCTTCTCCTGATCTTCAGCCAAGCAGGGCCTATGGCCTGCCATCGACATCCACGACTCTGGGCAGCAGCAGCAGCAGCAGCAGCAGTAAGCAGTGTAATCCGGTGTAGTCCAAGCCTGCCTTGGCCCTTTTTACTTGTTCGACCTGACTAGTCGATGGCTGTGACTGTCGTGATATTCCTGGATATTCCTTTTGCAGGCTGACGTCGTCCAGCAGGAAGAGCTAGAAGTTAGAAGTAAAAGAGAGAGAGAGAGAGAGAGAAGATACGAAGATGGGCAGAAAGAAGCCTCGAGAGCCGGGCAAAAAAGAAAAACAGAGCAAAGCACGCAAAGACGCAGCAGCCAGAAGGGAAGAAGAAGAAGCTAAGAGGCGACGGCCCAAAAGACGAGAGCGAGAGAGATATAAGAAAGGCCTCGCTTTCCCCAGACTTGCCCCAGACTCTCTCTCCCCGTCTCCGTCTCCGTCCCCGGACTCTCTTCTTGACTTTGATCTTATCCAACTCTTCTTCTTCTCTTCTCTTCTCTTCTCTACTGTCATCATCATCATCATCATCATCGCCGTCGCCGTCCTTCGTCCTGCTGCCATCAAGTCTTCGCTGTAAGTAAATGACATCATGTTCGCCCTTCGCCGTCTTCCTCTTCGCCTTCCCTGACCGTCACGTAACGTCACAATACATCCCGGCAAGGCGGCCTCCCCCTTCCTTGGCCTGCTCTCCTCTGTCTCGTCCTGTCACGCCCCGTCACGCTGCGTACCCAAAGTAACCGTCGCATCCTCTTCTCTTTTTTTTTTCTTTTTTGCAACTTTCTCGTCTTCCTTTTTTTTTTTGCAGACTCTTACAAGACGGTTACCAATCTTACCTTACCTTACGTTACGTTACCCACCATTTTTCTTTTTTTCTTTCTTTTTCTTTTCTTTTTTTGCCCTTTTTTCTGCTTGGCCTCTTTTGGGCTCTTTTTGGCTTCTTCTTCTTTATACTTGAACTTCCTCGTCTTCTTCTTCCTCGTCTTCCTCTCTCTCTCTCTCTTCTTCCTCTTCTTCAGCATTTGACACTCTCCACTCTTCGTCTTTCTTCTCTCGTCGTTGTCTTCTTCTTCTCGCCTAACGCATGATAGTCCTTGTCTGATGGGTTCGCTATTCTCGACCGCCAGCTTCTTCCCTCGTCCCGTCGCTGCCTCGGCTCTGCGACTCCTGCACGCCCCTTCAGGTCGCCTCAGCTCGCTCCAGAGAGACTGTCCTCGTCTTTGCTAAAAGACCAGACCCGACTGTTCTCCCTCCATTCGACCTGACTGCAACTTGACTTCCAACGTCATAAGTCGAGTTGTAAGCATATCCTCCGGGCCAAAAGAGAAAAGTCCACCGAGAGCCGCGTCCATCCCACTATCAAATTCAACCACAACAGCCAACAGCCGAAGAACAAGAACAACCACCCGGAATTCCACCACAAGAAACACCACCATTGGCTATATCAACAGCAAAGAGAGAAAAAGAGAGACTTCATAAGAAGACAGGCATCTCGTCCTCCCCCTGGTCGCTGTCTTTGTATCACACAGACTCACAGTTCGACCGTTCCTGTCCGATCAACCGCCCCAAAGGCAGGGTTATCCCCAGCAAGGTTTACCACCACCAGCAACCACCACGACTCAACACCCAAGCCACTTTTTCGACGATCACTTCTATCAGACATGGCCGCTACATCTACATCGACATCAACAGTCGGCGTCGACGTCAAGAAGCCGCCTCCTCTCATGGACATTCCGGCAGCCCTGGCCGCCTCGCCTACTGCTAGCCGGCCGACCCTCGACCTGCCAGACAGCCTGCGCTGCTCTGACCTGCCCGGAGTCATCCACGAAGAGGACGAAGAGTCCGCTACCGAGCCCTCTGAGCCCGTCACCCCGACCAGCCTCACCCACCACAACCACCACAACCTCTTCAGTGGGCCTCACAGCTACCAGAGCCAGCAACACCCTCGAATTGATCCCCCGAGCAGGGATCCCATGGTCAGCGTCAATGTCCCCGTCGAGGTGCTCAAGAACCCCATCATCGTAAACACCGAGCCCACGCCGCCATCCACGCCCTCGAGACGCCCTCCTACCACTCAGGCTCAGGCTCCAGCTCCGGCTCCAGCATCAAATCCTACTTCTAATACGACTGCTACTTCCACCTCTGCTACCTCTGCTCCAGTGGCCATTCCTCCGCCAGCTCGACCCTCGACTTCGGCCTCGCAAAAGTCCTCTCCGCTGAGAAAGGCATCCAAGTCGATCAAGGGCATCTTCCGTCGACCAAGCACCTCCGACGCCATGCCTCCGACCACCACTCCTGCTAATAATACTGCTGCTGCTGCTGCTACTGGCAATGCTGCTCCTAATGCACAGACTGAACAAAAGAAACTCTCGCTGAACATGTTCCAGGCCAGCAACACGCGCAAGGGCTCGGTCTCGTCTTCGCACCAACACTCACCCACTTCCTCGCGTACCAACTCCCCCCAGTCACCCAGCTCGCCCTCCAGCACGCTCCATGGCAACAGCAATCCCCAGAACCCGATGTATCTCGGAGTCACCCCTCCCTCCGACTCATCCTTCAACCCCCGACGCCCTGCTCGCTCGTCGACGGGCCTTAGCCTGCGTGAGCGCAGTCGAGTCATGTTTGGATCAACACCTCGGCCCCAGCGCGACGAGGATCAGCGAATCCGATCTCCTAGCCTCGGAGACGTGCAGAACCAACCAGAACGGCCCGGGTTCTCTATTCCTGCAGTTTCAGGCGCCGGCCTCAAGGCCCGCCGCATGAGCACCAGTTTGCCCGATGACTTTGACGTCAACACCTGTCCCCTTGCAGACGAATACACCAATAGCAGCAAACTGCCTGGCAAGCGCAAGGAGGTCGGTCGAGGCGCCACAGCCACCGTCAAGATCATGTGTCGACGCGGCAGCGACAAGTCCGAACTCTTTGCCGTCAAGGAGTTCCGCAAGTGCGGCTCAAAGGAAGACCAGCATGAGAATGAGCAAAAAGTGAAATCGGAGTTTTCCATCGCCCAGTCCCTGCACCATCCCAACATCGTCGAGTCGTTCCGTCTGTGCACCAGCAACGGCCGCTACAATCATGTGATGGAGTACTGCTCCTACGGCGAGCTCTTCTCGCTCGTCCAGAAGAACTACCTCCAGCCCAAGGACAACCACTGCTTCTTCAAGCAGATGGTCCGCGGCGTCGCTCACCTGCACGAAAACGGCATCGCCCACCGAGACATCAAGCTTGAAAACCTGCTGCTCTCCGATGACGGATACATCAAGATCACCGACTTTGGCGTCTCAGAGGTGTTCTCGGGTCTCCACCCTGGTCTTCGCAGCTCAGGCGGCGAGTGCGGCAAGGAGATGGGCGAGGTCCGTCTCTCTTCACCTGGAATCTGCGGTTCGCTTCCCTACATCGCCCCCGAGGTCCTGGCCAAACAGTCCAGCTACGATCCACGCCCGCTCGACGTCTGGTCCTGCGCCGTCGTCTATCTCACGCTGCACTTCCGAGGCAACCTGTGGCCCTCTGCCAGCCGCGAGCACCCCAACTACGCCCGCTTCACCTCTGGATGGGAGAAGTTCCTCGCTTCTTCGGAGACGGGCATCCCATCTGAAGACAAGATGCCCTCGTGCGGTCCGGCGTTCAGGCACATCGGCAACCGCAACCTGAAGCTGCTGCTGCTCAAGATGCTGCATCCAGACCCGGCCAAGCGGATCACCATCAAGGAAGTGCTGGGCGACCGCTTCATGAAGAGCGTCGAGTGCTGTGCCCCCGAGACGAAGAAGGGCGAGGAGCAGATCGAGGCTGTGGGCGCCGGCATCGACGCGGCGGGCAAGGCCTCTTCCAAGCGCGCGAGCAAGATGGTTATCCAGAAGATCCACCACCACTTTCCGCCAGAGAAGAAGTATCTCCCGCAGTACCGCTTTGACATGGGCGATGGCTACAACTGATCACAACCAACTATCGCACATCACTGACTGACTGCGGCGACGCTCTTATCACTTCTATTATCTATCACCTTTTCCTTTCTTCCTTTCCTTTCCTTTCTGTCACTGATACACTGATACGTCTTGTTCTGCTATAAAGGGTGGTTTTCTGCTTTTGCTCACTTGGCTTAATGACTGCATTGGGGGTTCTCCTGGCTTTCCTTTCCTTATCACCTTCTAGCTTCTCTTCACCTTTAATCACCTTCTTGTCCAGCGTACATAAAACCCTTTTTAACGGCCCTTCACTGACCTCCCTTCATCATTCTGTGTGAATATTCAAACCTTGTCCCTTTTTTCAGCTTCTTTTCTGGCGTTGGTCTACATGTCTGTGTCTGTACTCTCCCCGCATCAAGGGTCGAGGGTTGTCTCTCTTTCTTCTTCTTCTACTGCTGCTTCAAATACACTGTTTGTCTGTCTATCAAAGTGTGCGAGTTCGACTGCCAGCTACAAACTAATGACTGTTCGAGTTACAAAATACCTACCTACCAAATTCTACATAGAAGAGCCTATCTTACATAGTTCCCTTGCTTGCCATTGCTTAATGTCTATCATACTTCTATCTATCTATAGACGGTGTCACTCTCGATCTCGCCAGCGTCGCACCGCCTATCCTGCCACCACCCCCCCTTGGCCTTCGTCTATCACTCTATCTATCCTCTCGGAGCATCCGTCTCGAAGTGGCCGGCCGACCAACTCTCGCTCCTGTCCATCACACAGCCCAGATGCCAACCTCCCACCCAGCGCCTACACATCATCATCACCATCACCGGGCCAAGTCTGTCCAGTTCAGTCTATCCAGCCCAGCCAGCCCAGCCAGCCAGCCCAGTCCAGGGCCCCAAGACCGCTCAGCAGCACAGCCAGCGACACAGCCAAGTATACAAGTCACAGGTCAGTCAGTAGGTAAGTATACAGATACAGATACAGATACACGACCGGGCATTTCCGGCTGCTTGTCCCGTCTCGTTTCGTTTCGTTCCGTCTCGTCTCGTCTCGTTTCTTCACGGCGGAGGCGGAGGCGGCGGCGCTTACACATGCACCGTCATCCCCAAGACGAACTATTTGCACTTAACTACTTTTCTTATGCCAGTGCCAGTGCCAGTGCCAGTGCCAACACATCCCTCATCCTCCTCCCCCTGCCTTGTCCCTAGCATCTCCTGTCCTTTGCCAGCGCCAAGGGCGGACGACGACGCCTACCAAGTCGACTCAAGACTCTCGGGATGTCTCATCATCTGGTTTGCTTGCTTGCTTGCTTGTCTCGCTGGCTGAACGGCAACGCAAGCCTGCGCCCGCCAAGTTGACTGCGCGGCAAGCGACATACATGCCCTCTCCCTCCCTCCCCCAGCCAGGCCACTCTAATATCCGTACCCAAGACTTAGGCTTGGACTTGGACTTGACTCTTGACTGTCGGCTGAGCACCCCGTCCATGCAAGCAAAGTCGATCTTGTCTGACGGTCCAGCGGGCCAAGAAGGGGGTTTAGGGGGGTTAAGGGGGGTTGGGATGTGCACAGAGAGACGAACGATATCAGGCGGACTGGCTGGCATAACTCGACTTCGAGATGGCATGCATGCACGTACTTACACATGCGCGCACACACACATCTCGAGTCCAGCCTGGTTCAATAATATGTTGGCTGAAGGAATGTAAGTAAGTATGTAATTTTCCTTTCTTTTTTGCCGATTACCTTGGCCCTCCCCCCTTTCAGCAGCACAGCAGAGCACAGCAGAGCACAGCACAGCATCCGACACCCGAGAGCGACAGCGCAGGAGATGAGGCTTTGTTTTGTTTTTTTCTTCTGCTGTTCCGCCGGCGCCCGCATGAAACGGGGGAACGAACAGATCATGATCTGTGATCTTCGCGGGAAGGGTAAAAAAAAGGTGTGTGTCCGTTTGGGACAAGAGAGTATTCAATGATCTCCCTTGGCGGGCTTGTCGGGCGGTCCTTTTTCGTCGTCGATGGGCGCGTAACGTATATAGGGTGAGGCAGGATGGACTTGAGGCAGTGCTGCAAGACGCCTTGCTTGACTGACTATTGCCTTGGATGCAGCGTATCACCATCTCGTCTCTTTATCGAGTCTTGGTCGTCGTCTTTCTTTCATCTATCTATCTTCTACTGCTGGCTGCTGGCTGACTAGTCTAGACATCGACCTACCTGCTCAACGCCTGACCTGCGAAAAAGAAAGAGGATTGACGGTGCATGCATGGAGAGTCGTAAAGAGTAAGAAGTAAAGAGTAAGAAGTAAAGAGTAAGAAGTAAAGAGTAAGAAGTGGGAGTTGACGGCGGGAAAGGCAAGCGAAGAATCAGGGGGCGGGCGGCGCCAAGACCAAAATAGAACTCGAGAGAGCCAAGAGTAGCCAAGACTTCCCGCTTGGCGCCGCTCAGGAGAAAACATACAAAAGACGCCAAGAGATTTTGTTTTTTTGGTTTGTTTGCGCTTAGTAAGACTAAAGTTTTTCGCTGTTTGGGGAAGGGGCGACGGAACCCGCGCGCCAAGACCGTCTTCGAGAAGGAAGCAGGAAGGAGCGGTCCTGATGGTTGCACAAGGGGGGAAGTTGCAGTAAGTCCCTCGCTCTTTCTTCTTTTCATTTTTGCATTACAAGGGAGGGATTCCTCCTGTATTTATGCACGTATTTATGCCAACCCTCCCCCCCGCGTATGTGAGTATGGTAAGTATGTAAGTATGGTAAGTAATGGGCTGGGCTGGGCTTGGGCTGAAATTAACAGATGAAGAAAATGAAACTGCATATAAATATAGCCAAGAGCCACGCCAAGCATAGTTAAGTATGGTACAAGTGTTGTAGGCAGTGTTGTAGGTTGTAGTAGTAGTAGTAGTAGTAGTATACACGATGAACAGAACAAGCCAAGTTAAGTAAGTAGTAGCACTTAGACCTCAACGCGGGTTGGGATCTTGACTTCTCCCCTCCGCCTGTCTGCAAGAGGCACTCCATACCGCCGGCCAACGCCCTTCTCGCCGCGTCCGTCCAGCCCAACCGTCTCCCTACTCACCACCACATCCCGGAACCTGAACTCGAACCGTCCCTCCGTGGGCTCGACCCGCGTCATGCTCGCGGCCTCCCTGGCCTTCCGCTTCTCCTTGCGCGCCTTCTCAGCTTGCTCGTCCGCCTCAATGCGCGCCATGTACCGCCTGCTGCGTTCCCCCATCTCGTTCGACAGCGCGATCTTGTCCCGCTCGGCAGCTACCATGTGAGGGTGCGGGATGCGCACCTCCGCAGGCTGCAGCACCTGATGCTCGTTGGCGCCCTTGCCGACCTTCTCAATCCGGTGCGGGGCGTGCGTCACTTTGGCGATGTACTCGGGTGTGTTGGCGGGTTGGTCGCGCTCAGCAGCCGGCAGGGCGGGTGCGGCGGAGAAGGCTCGGGCGGCGTCGACGCGGGTGAACTGGCGGGACTCAGACACCGGGTAGAAGATTTGCGGTTCGGTGAGCTTGTGTACTGGTAGGTCGTTGATGGGCTCGTGGGCTATTTGGGGTTCTCCGCGGGATGCCAGAGGGGTGGTGGGCAGCATCGAGCGTACTGCTCGGCCATAGGGCAGGGCAAGTGGTTTTTTCTAGACAAATAGTCAGTTTAGTTTGCAATCAATCAATTTGTGTATCAAATGGCGCCTGCCATTCCATATAGTATGGCTGTCTTCTCAGAATAGATACAAAACTTAATCATTCTCTTGGAGTCATCAAGACTAATCGATTTATTCATCATGGAAGACCATATTGTACCAGCATAGGGATAGAGATAGGGATGGAGAGATAGGGTATAAAGGTTTGGGCTATTCAAACTCACCTCGGCTTTCATCCGCTTCTCCAGCTCAACGAGTCTTACCACCGCCCCGATACGCCTCATATCAACTCCAAACATAACACTCACGGTCTTCACACTCTTCCCTTTATTAACAACCTGCTCATATATCTCATTCCGTAGCTCTTCACTCAACACGCTCTCGCTGATAAACACCGGGTTATGCGGGAACGGCCGCGGCGACGGCTCAACTTCTACCATCTGCCCATCAGGCCCTACTCTGGTCTGAGGCGCCTTCGGTTTACCATCCTTCTCGTAGGCTGTCAGATAGTTTGTGCTCGACGGTATGGGGTCCTTGAATACCCTGCCGGGCCCGTTTAGCCAGCCGAACATCGCTTGTCGGCGTTTAGAGATCTGTAGGTTGGGCGTCGAGCTGAAGGCACGGCATGACGATGTGCATGTAGATTGTGTTAGGCTGTATATCGAGGTGTTCTGTGAGGATTGGAGGAGATGGTGATGTGATTTGGCCAGCCGTTGTGCGGCCCTTAACCGTGGTGGCATCGTGGGCCGATGTTGTGATTATACGAAAATGCGGACAAGGAAAAAAAGAAAAAAGTCAGGGTATCGAGCGATTGGGACAGTCAAGCCCTCGCTGTGCTTTCACGTCTCTTTTAACAGGCCAATGGCTGCCTTATGCTCGTCGTTGTCGCTGGTTCTTCTTAACGACAGAAAAAAAGTTGAAGCTTTCAAAGTTGAAAATTCGATGGATTAGGATGCGCACGTGATTGGTTGCTGACTAAGATTGATAAGGCTCTTCTCTCTCGTTTCTTCCTGCCTTTCAACGACTTTTAATTATAGACAACAGCATCAACACCGACAGCACAATTGACAGCGACGTTAGCTCTGTCTTCATACTCATTGCCAAAGCATTGAAGAGCTGGCGGAGACCATATACCCTTCTCGACCGCCCCCGTCTGTCTCGCAGCTTCGTTGCCAACCATACCATAATCAAACATGGACCAGAGCTTAGATGAGATCATAGCTGAACGTCCCGTAAGTCTCTCCCCTCCTAAGACATGCATGCTGAAGAGCTTCAACTGACTTATCTCCTGCTGCATAGGACGCCTCTCGCCCCAGAGGTGGCCGCATGGCGGGTTCTCGCCGAAGGACCAACTTCCGCGGTTCTCACAAGGTAACTCTCGACCCTAACCCAGTCATGGTGAGCTCCCGTGCTGATCACTTATAGGTCCTCATCCTCCTCCTCCCATCGCTGCCTTAGCTACATACCTACATATCTATCTGCCTGCCAATAGCCGTGTCTTGACGTGTCCAGCATCGAAGTCTTGCAACACGGACACACCAATAAGACTTGCAAATCTCTCCGATATGATATGATATGATATGATATGATTGATTACACACAAGGCCATACATAGCAACTAGATCTGACTGACCTTCGGCTAACCTTTGTCCTTCTTTTTCTCTGAGTAACAACAGTCTTCCAGAGGTGATAGAGCAGATTTGGACCTGTGAGTTAATTAGGCTACTGCAGGGTTGCAAGAGGTGGGCGGTTTCATGGAAAAGCAGACTAATGGGTTATGTGTTCGGTAGTGATTGGGTTCACGACAGGTTTGAAGACGACAGAGATTGTGAGTATTGACCTCGTTCCGTATTTTTGGTTTGTTTAGGTACCCCTTCTAACATTGGTGCTATAGCTCGATCCTCTCGACCTCCGAGACAGCCTCGTACGGATAGATACAACTCCGGTCCTGCTGACCAGTACGTAGCTACAACCGACTGTACTGTACACTGCATACCTAACACCAGTCAACAGGGATTCGCGCGGAGCAAAAATTCGAGTCAGCAATATCCACTATGACTTGACCCAGGAAGACCTCGAGGTTCGACTCCCTTTGTTCCGTCCCATATATAATGCAAATATACCTAACACAACACAACACAGGAGCTGTTCACCCGCATTGGGCCAGTCTATTCTGTCGCCCTTCTCTACGACAGAGCCGGGCGCTCCGAAGGCACCGCATTCGTAACTTACAAACGACTCTCCGACGCCGAAACCGCCATTCATGAATTCGACGGCGCAAACGCCAAGGGCCAACCAATTCGTCTCACCCTCGTCCCCAGCGCTGCCCCCCGACGCCGTAACCCATTCGACTCCGCCGAGATGCCAAAGGGAAGCCTGTTCGATCGTGCCGAGCGGCCACGGGGAAGAGACAGTCGTAGTCTTAGCCCGGACGCTGCTGAGGCTAGTGGTGGCCGAAGAGGTAGGCGGAACAATACCAACCTTGCCCCACCAGAAAACATCGACCGATACGTTCCTGGTCAGCGATCGCCGATACGGAAACATGATTCGGGTAGAAACAGGGGTCGTCGGGGTGGTGGTGGTGGTGGTAGAGACAGCAGGGAAGCAACTGGTAGTCGGAACCGTGGGTCGGGGAGAACGAAGAAGACGCAGGAAGAGCTTGACCAGGAAATGGAGGATTACTGGGGGAAAGCCAACGCTGATACTGCTGGCGGTGCTAGCAATAATGCCGCCGAAAACCAGCCCGCCGCTGTTCAACCTGCCGCTCAGCCTGCCCCTGCGGCCGGTGGTGAGGAAGACATTGACATGATTGAGTGAGCAGTATTTGGTTTGACTGTATTCTGGCTTGTATGGTTATAGAACAATATGAGCCGGCTGGGTTTCCTGTCGTTTCGTGATAGATTCCGCTCCAATTTGATAATAATTACCACTCTCTGTACCTTGTATTCCCTATCCTTCAACACTGATACTTGAATTTGAATACAATCTACGTATGTCCTGTAGTGTGAATGTAGACCGAATTAGACCAATGGTGTTATTATTGATGTTGAATAACACAGATTACCCTACTGTTACCAAATGTAAGTAAACCAACCTTACATGGCTAACCTATTTAACCAAACAGTTTTGAAGCAAGGGTTCTCTCAGCATGGCCGTTGACTGCTAGGTCACTCGCCAGCTGACGGTCTATCTCCAAAGACCGTATGGCTCTCTACATGCCTTCCATAACTTGATCGTCCCATCCTCGCTTCCTGTGCCGTAAATCTTGCCGTCAGGGGAGTAACTGAGTGACCAAATTGGACCATGGTGGCCTCGTTGCACCTCTGCATTTCGCCGTTAGCAACCTAGATACCATTGTCATATCAATATTGGCCAGGGAAAAGGGGGCCACACACCTAGCTCGTCGTTGGATTCAAGATCGTAAACACGCGCCCATGTGTCGCCTGTGCTGCCGGTGACAAACCGGCTCGTTGCCTTGTTAACAGCAATACTAGCAAGCTCATACGAGAAATCGGTCTTTTTCAACAAGCGGCCTGGCTGCACGGGGTCGAAAAAGTACGCTGCTTTGCCTGCAGCAACGCTCAATACGCCCGGGTCGTTAGGTGTCGTTGAAATTGAGTTCATCTCACAGCTGCCAATTGTCCCATCCACACCATATTCCGCACATGGGTGACGAGAACGGAGATCCCACCATCGAATCTTCTTGTCATCTGCGGCAGTGACGAGGATGTTGTAGTCCTGGTACCAGATGATAGATTTGATAGTTCCATTGTGTACCCCGGGACCAATCTCATAGCTCATGGCGTTGGAGGAAGATGAGTTGGAACTTGCGCCGTTGGCTGCACTTTGAGACGTAGGTGAGGACGAACTACTGCCCTGAGCTCTGGAGAGGTCAAAGATACGTAGTTTCTTCTCCATGCCGCCTGTAGCTAGGATTTGAGGGCCGGCTTGAACGGGGAACGCAACTGCTCGGACAATGTGGGAGTGCTGCAATGTGTGCAGACACTCCCCAGTATGTGTGTCCCATACCTTTCTAGTTGAGATGTGAGCAACAGGTTCAACATTTGCATGATGTTGGAATTGGGTCGTCGGATGACATACGCAGAGAAGTCTGCAGCAGCGGTAGCAGCAATGGTGGCGTCCACGGAGAGCCTTGCCTGCCAAACGGCACCTTTGTGACCTAGGAATGTCCCAATCCTTCATTGAGTTGATACCATGTCAGCTAAGGCCTATAGAAGAGAGTTCTTATGAGGCGAAACTAACCAATCACCAGTGATCCCATCCCGGAGCATAGGATTATTATCTGCAGAGTAGAAAACTTTAGTCAAGGAAATTGAATATAGCTTGGGATTGTATAGTTTTTTTTTACCTTTGCAGGCTGAGATCAGGTAGTATTGGTCATCTTCGGTTGTCGAAGAGAAGCTGATGTGAGGCACAGGCCGTGAATGCCCATGACAAGTCAGCGGCACAACCTTTGAAGCATCTACCCGGAAGGAATCAGTTTCACATCATCAAAATAGCGGACCAACTTTGGTTAGGGTTCAATAATAGGAAGCGCCATAACTTACCAGATGCCATCTGTCTCGGGGCGGTGACTGAGCAATGAAACCACAACTCGGTCAAAAGGAATAAAAGAAAAAGGCAAAAAAATCAGTAGCCACAAGCTAATGAAGAGTATATGAAGAGGGGAAATAAAGGTCAAGTAGGGAAGATATCAAGAAAATAACGGAAAGTAAACAAGATCCCAAGCTAGAGAGGTATCTCCGAAGACAAAAAATCGAGGGCCAATGAACACCGGTCTTTTTGCACCAGCAATATGATAGTGAAGGGAATCCGTTCAGTCGTCAAAACATTCCTATCATTAAAACAGAACAGAAAAAAAGAGAAAATGGAGCTCGTCTATAAGGGAGTGAGAGGCGCGGAGCAGTGGCACGGAAGCAGAAGACAGCTCGTCTCTTGCAGGACCAAGATCCAAAACGGAGGGGCTGGCTCCCGAGTCCCTTTTTTTTTGCTTTCCTGTGTTTTCTCTTTCTTTTTTTGTCTAAAGAATCAACCTGACGAACGCTGTGCAAGGGTTTCTCAGAGGGATGGAAAGGAGAGAATAAAGGACAATATGGTTGGTCGTATAAGAAGCAGTGAGCAAACGACCAAGAACGCTGTCCTCTTTTTTTCTTTTTGATATCGGCGGACAGGGCTCGGTGGAGAGTTTAAGCGCGGAGGGAGCAAGCGCTAAGCGGGATGAGGTAAGGCGCCAGGGCACATGACTCTCTTCTTCAACGTTCAGCGTTCGACGGCGGCCTTAGGACTCGCGGAGAAGGACGAGGACGACGGGAAAGGAAGAGGGTATTAAGGCAGCGGATAGACGGCGGGCAACTCACCGTGGAGTAGGACAGGATGGCTTGACTTTTTCGTGCTGGAGACGCTTTTCTTTTCTGCAGGGGAGCAGCCCGTCCTCGTTCCCTGCAGTTTTGGCGCATACCAGGAGCTGCTGGGCTTGTCCACAGGGATGTACCCTCTGGCTAGCGGAATACCAGGCTGCTGGAGAGTCATTCTCGGCGGATTTGACTAGCAATGCCCACTTTTTGCTTTTAAGGGCGTCGCCAGAGCTTCGAACAGCTCTTGAGAGCTGGCATTGGCTGTTTGTGCCGTGGCTGGAAGAAAGGAAGCTGTCTATTTCGTATACTCTTGACACCATGATGAGATATATCTCTTACGTCTTCATATACCTGGATGTCCCGTTATTTAGTTAAACTGTCTCATGGTACAGCCGGAGTTATTATTCTGAAGTAAGTATATACATAGAACCAAACATGATATCATTCATCATCTTTCATCTTGCTGCCCTTAATAGCGTGTAATCCCTTGCAGTATCACAACAAATATATACTTCATGTCACCTCCCTTCACCAATGTATTTGATTGCAATGGATGAAGCAGCCAGCTTTGGCTGTGCGCGCCCTCCCACCGTCATGTGACCTGGCCTACCAAATTTTGTATTATGTCATGCAAAGAACAGCAACTCCAACCCCCACACTCTGCAAACAAGCTGAAGAACTACAGCTACAGCCATTCATTGCTCTTCGCGATAGCTTCATTTCCTCCGCAGGGTGACGGATTTATACGGTGGTGGTTGTATTTTTGGTCGCTCATACGATACCTTGTCTCCATAGCCTACCAAAATCATTTGTATGCCTGACTTCAAGATCTCCGCGCTTCTGGAGGGCCACAGCGATGATGTTAGTTGGAACTAATCCTCTCGCCATATAAGGAGCTACTGTGACTGATTTCTTGATATATAGGTTCGAGCTGTGGCCTTTCCAACTACATCTACTGTTCTAACGTCGTCCCGAGATGCAACTGTTCGTATGTGGACAGTTGTATCATCCCCGCCTCCGAAGTTTGATGATAAGATCACAGTGCATGGGTCGGCGTTTATAAATTCCCTGGCTTACTGCCCTCCAACAGGGGACTATCCGGAAGGACTGATATTTAGCGCTGGACAAGATACAATAATAGAAGCAAGACAGCCCGGGAAACCAGCGGATGACAACGCTGAGCGTTTGCTGCTTGGTCATACAGGCAACGTATGCGCTCTAGCCGTCTCGCCGGACCGTAAGTGGTTAGCCAGTGGAAGCTGGGACTCTACTGGACGCCTCTGGGAGATTGGAAAATGGAGCAAGGAAGTTGTTCTGGATGGCCATGGAGGCAGTGTTTGGGCTGTTTTGGCTTACGACAAGGATACAGTCATTACAGGTAAGGAGAATACATATTAGGATATGTTATGGAGTACACTGCGTACTGATGGGAATTTAGGGTGCGCTGATAAACTTATACGTGTTTTCAATACCTCCGGAAAGCTTCTGAACACTTTCAGGGGCTGCGGGGATGTTGTTCGAGCGCTTTGCAAGGTCCCAGATGGACATGGATCCGGAGCCCAGATAGCATCTGCAGGAAATGATGGTATCATTCGCCTTTGGACTATTCAAGGGAAGCAGGTTGGCCAACTGCATGGACATGAAAGCTTCATCTACTCCCTCGATTCCCTGCCCTCCGGCGAGCTTGTGAGCTCTGGAGAAGACCGGACTGTAAGGATATGGAACGCTACTAGCTGCATTCAGACAATTACCCACCCGGCAATATCAGTATGGAGTGTTGCTGCATGTGCCGAATCTGGTGATATTATCTCGGGAGCCAGTGATAGGATAGCTCGGATTTTCAGCCGGGACAAGGGTCGGCAAGCCGATGAGGCCACCACTCAGATTTTCGAGAATGCCGTGAAAGAGTCTTCCATTCCACAAGAGCAGGTTGGGAAGGTCAACAAGGAAAAACTCCCTGGCCCGGAATTCCTCAAACAGAGATCTGGAACAAAGGATGGCCAGGTACAGATGATTCGTGAAGATGATGGGAGCGTCACTGCTCATACATGGTCTTCTGCCTCCTCTCAATGGGTCCCTGTTGGCACAGTGGTGGACTCTGTTGGAAGCAGTGGTAGAAAGGTCGAATATATGGGCCAGGACTACGATTACGTGTTCGATGTTGACATCGAAGACGGAAAGCCACCCCTAAAACTCCCATATAACCTGTCTCAAAACCCCTACGACGTGGCAAAGAAATTCATCGCAAATAACGAACTTCCAATCTCATACCTGGAACAGGTTGCGAACTTTATCACAACTAATACTAAAGGAGCAGTAGTAGGCCCGCCCCAGACCAGCGAATCCACCTACCAACAACCGTCTATTCCGGATTCTCGGCCAAAAGTGTTGCCTCAAGCGTCCTACCTCTCTATAAAATCGGCAAATTTGAAAGCTATACAG